GGGGCCAGCCCAATTGCCTCCAATCTTGGGCATCCCCTTCACGTCCACAAACCAACTGTTGTCCCACAACGACGCAAAGCCGTCCACGAAAAACGCACCCGCCGACGGCCCGACCCTGGCGTCCGGCGTCCGACCGTTGCACTCGCCATCGCTCTCGCCAGGAACCTTGAGCCACAAGTTGAAATCGACGAGCGCATTGCCCGTGTCGGAGCCAGGAGGAGCCCCGATGCCCGCCGACCGCGAGTTGCACCACTCGTCCCCGACAGACCCGCGGTGGTTGCGAGACGTGTCAAACACACACCGAAGGCCTCCCGTCGCCGACGAAATCGCACTGCAAAACGACAGGAGCTGGCCATTCGTCTTGTAGTTGGACGTGTTGATGGTGACGCCGTGGAGGCGTCCCGCGGACTTGAGCTCGTTCAAGACCTTGGTGGCTTCGGCGATGTTGGCCCACGACGCCACGTCCGCGTACACCTTGGCGTTGGGGTTGCCGGCCGAGATGAGTCCGAGGGCGAGTTTCAGGTTGTCGAGGTAGTTGAACTGTTTGGCGCAGTAGTTGTTCGAGAGGAGTCCGATCGCGTCCGGCTCGAGCACGTACACGACTTCGCGCGAGCCGACGCGGGCGACCAAGCTTTGCACCCACGCCTTGTACATGGCAGCGTCTTTGTTGGTGCCGCCGCTCGAGAACCCGTCGGCGCAGTCTTTGTTCGGGAGGCCGTAGATGACAATCGAAGGCACTTGGCTGCCGGTGCACTTTTGAAGGAGGTCGTTGACGGCGTCGCCCCATCGGTCCGTGTACCACGTCGCGACGGCGTATTTGCTGAGTTCGTTGAGCGCGCCTTGGAGCTGGGGGTTGGCATTGGCGGCTTGCGTCCACGAGCCAGGTGTCAAGGCATTGCAGATGTTGACTGCGTTGGCCGACTCGACCAGCACGCTCGCGGCCACTGCCACCAACGAGCGGACGTGCATCGTTGCCTTGGTCGGGTAAAACGAGTAATGCACCAACGAGCGCAGATCATGGGTGAAGGCGACACGAACGTAGTGACGGCAGAGCACCGAATATGTCGCAATTGGAATCGGCAAACTTATGTTCGCCGTCGTGATGCGCGACTAAAGTAAACAGGATGTCATGTGGAAATGAATTGCTTGAAACAAAATATGAGTATGATGATCCCGTCGTTTTGGTGATTTTGCTTTGACGACGGAAGTTGTTCCCAATTCGATTTCGGAAAAGAACTTGAAAATCGTAAGGAAATTGCTTTCAACTCACGAGGAATATTCGCCGAATTCACGTGGTGTCGCCGATCTTGCTTCGGAACCGTTCGAATGAAAGTGCACCTTGCTGTGGCGGTGTTTGATCTCGTTGAACCGTCGGCATGCATGTACCAACTTCTGCAGCGATGGCTTGTGGGACTGCCAAGCGATGGTTGGGAAGGCTGTGCACTCACAAAGGCTGTTCATGTACATTCGGCATTCGCTTGCCCGGACGTGGTGAGTCACTACGATTGACAGGCGAAGTATATTCTGACACATGCGTGGCTAGAGTGCCGGCGTTAGTCGTACGCTGCGCTCGACACGGCGCACCCTAATGTATGGTACACAACTGGAAGACGGACTGCCTTTTCGCGTTCGTTCGTGTGAGCAGTCAGGTACACACCACCCACAAGGCGCAATGACATCTTGACTTGTCTTTCAAGCCAACCGTTTGGTGCTGGTGGTTGCGGTGGCCATCTCTATCCACACATCAGGTGCGTCCTGGCAAGCTTTGCCAGTGGTGGCGGTGTCCCGCTCTGCCCCGAAACTGCTGTCCACTGGCCATGGTATCCACGCGACGAACGGCACCCCATGCACGCTTCGGTTGCGCTCGTTCCAACATCACTTCCACACGCCTCGTTTCGTCGAGCGAGCGTGATCAAGGCTCGAGCCGCACAATTGCGTGGAGCAGTTGTTCACGTTGTCGAAGTCGTCAAATTGTAGGGATATTTTGATTTTTCTTTGTATCCACAATATATTTATGAACATGGACACTTTTGGTGTTTTCGCGAATTGCATTGTCCGAAAATTGCGAAAATGGGGAACTGTCCGGTTCTCCCAATGTTGGTTGTGTGACTTATCGAGATCAGAGCCTGGAGGACGTCGGTCATGGACGCTCCACGAAAGCTAATCTATTTGGACCACAACGCGACGACGCCTGTGGCGAAGGTGAGGAGGACCCCATCCCGTACGTCTTCATGCCCACAAGGTTTCTCGTAGGAGGTGGTGGACGCGCTCGTTCCTTGCTTGCAGTCCAACTTCGGCAATCCATCGTCGACACATGAACTCGGTCGACGTGCCAAAGCGGCGCTGGACGTCGCGCGCGAACAAGTCGGGTGTCTCCTTGGCGCTTTACCTTCATCGATTGTGTTCCTGTCGGGAGGCACGGAGTCAATCAACTACGTCCTCAAGGGGCTCGTGACGTCGCAACCGCATCAGCGCCACATTGTGACGTCGGTTGTTGAACATGTTGCTGTGCTCGCCACGTGCCAATACCTGGAAGAAGTTCATGGATTCGACATCACGTATGTTCCCGTAAACGACGAGGGGCTTGTGTCTGCTGACGCCGTCGCTGCTGCCGTGCGTCCGTCGACGTGCGTCGTGACCATCATGCACGCCAACAACGAGGTCGGGTCGATCCAGCCCCTCGCTGCCATCTCCGCGGCAGCGAGGGCACGCCATGCCGCTCTGATCAACGAACTCGCCGACAACCTCACGTACGATCCATTGCTGGTCCACACGGACGCGAGCCAGTCCGTCGGAAAGGTCCTCGTCCGTGTCGACGACCTCGGCGTCGATTTTCTCACAGTTGCCGGCCACAAATTGTACGCTCCCAAAGGCGTTGGCGCGCTGTACATTCGTCCAGGTACAGTCTCCTCACCTGGCGTGCCACGCGCGCAGCTCTCTACAGCACGTCCTTTGAGTGCTTCCATAGTCTTGTGGTGCGTGCTGAGTTGCAATGCGGCCATTCACAGCCGAGTTGCCCTGCCTTGAGATTTCTGTTGGGACTGGTGTATGCGATTCCTCTGCATGGCGGTGCTTACGACCCGTTGATATGATGCTAACTCTATGAAGGCACGCGGCCGCTGGCGAAGCTCATGCACGGGGCCGCCCACGAACACGGCCTTCGCGCAGGGACCGAGAACATTCCATACGCTGTAGCCCTTGGTAAAGCCTGCCAACTTGCTCAGCACGCCCTCGCGAACGGGCTGTCGCAACGGTTGCTCGCTCATCGCGAGCATCTCCTGGCAAAGTTAACTGAATTGCTCGCCAGCCAAGATGTCCCTCTCAAGGTGAACGGTCCTGCGGATGTCGAATTGGTGCTCCCCAACACGCTCAGCATCAGTTTTCAGCACGTTTCTGCTAACCAGTTGCTCCACGTCATTGAAGATCGCGTCGCAGCCAGCGCTGGGTCAGCATGCCACAGTCACGCCACGACTGCCTCGTACGTCTTGCAAGCGATGCACGTGCCATTGGAGTTTGCCCTGGGGACGCTGCGATTGAGTGCTGGGAAAGACACGACGGCGGACGACATCGATCGAGCGGCACACGTGATCGCCCAAGGCATAGCAACTCTAATGGAAAAGTAACTAGAGGCCCCACCAGAATACTGGGCTAGTATGGAACGGCGCAAGGCATACGCGTTGGTGCGACCTGACACTCTCGAGTAGCATGGCGTTTACCGGTGTGCCAACATTGAGTCTTCTACATCGGCTTATCAATGGGAATACCAGAGAGACCTCGACGTTCTGCATATACTCACAACGAACTTCTTTGGCGTCCCGCAGCGACATGATGCGATAGCGCAACATCAGTCGATCAGAGCCTCGCATGTGAATCCGTCATACAGACATCCTCGACACCCTTGTCAACTGTAGCCATGGTATCGTTCCCGCAGTTCATGAAGCGACTATGAATCGGTCCGCCGCTCGTCCCGCTGTGTCCGTCCGGGTGAGTAATGCTCGATTCGTCGCCATGTCCTGGGATTGGCAGAAAAAGAGCCAATCAAAGCGCGTCGACCAAGTTTATCCGGATGGGACCAAAGATCGCAACAGTCCAGGGATGGCACGCATCATGGAATGGGTGCCGCTCGCCCTCGCCTCCGCCGGCGTGGTGCTCCACACGGCCCCGCTGTGCTATGGCGACTGGGAGTTCATCTACTCATTCGACGACGGCGCCAACTTTGTCGAGAACCCCATGATCCAAGCGCTGACGGTATCGAATCTCTGCTCCATGGCCATGTCGGTCAAGATCAACGTGTACGAGCCGCTGTCGTGGTTGCTCAAGGCGCTTGTCCACGAGCTTGTCGGCATGCAATCTCGATATGTTCGCATGATGTCGGTAGTTTTACATTGGACAGCGTGTGGTGTCTTGGGATGGACCAGCAATAGGTTGCTGTCGTCGTTCGCGACGATGCCACCATCGTCCGACGATCCGGCTTACAGCTTTTCAGGACAACTCTCAGCCGTTCTGTTCGCCGTCCACCCGCTGCACGTCGAAATCCTTATGTGGCCTTCCGCTCAGCCGTACCCGTTGGCCATGCTGTTCACATCGCTCATGCTATACCTTCATCTCGAGTTTAAGCCATGGTCGGCCGTTGGCGCTGGTGATGCCATTCCAATCATAATCCATATCGCTCGCTAAACAAACGCTTCGCGACGTAGTGTTTTACACATGCGCGGTCTTGAGCAAGAGCATTGCGCTTGTCACTCCCGTGGGTCTCGTCCTTCTTGATGCGACCCAAGGCACGGTCCTGCCCTACCATGACCTTTCGCAACACTTTCGGTATCACTCCATCGCTTGATTCATTCGATCCCTAACGGCGGAGTTGCGCTCACTAGTTACTTTCGCCAGATGCGTGTCTACATTGCGCTGTTTCTGGCCTTGGCTGCCACGACGTACGTGGCAAACCAAGGTGGTGCCGGCGACGACGTCGACACGATCTCGCTCACGCTATCTCGTACGTTGGCCGATGGTTGCATGCACTATTCAGCCATGGTTTCCCTTTGAACAAACTGCGTCATGGACTCGGTGGTGTGGGCGTAGAGCGCATTGCCAAGCTCTTTCTCGTGATTGTGTGGCCCATCCAAGCGTGGGTGTGGCCACTTGGCCTCCGGCCCCACTACCAAATCTCGGACGATTTGTCCATTGGTTCCAGTCCTTCTGTACTGCTAGCTGCGCTTCTCGTGGTGGTCACCTTTGTCGTTGGTATGACCGCATCGCCGCCATGCGCCCAAGAAGGATAACACCCACCTTGCGTGGCAACGGTGTAGGAATTGGCAGCGGCTTGACTGCCAAGTCGCGACCCCACTTGGCCATTCTCGCGGTAGCGGTGTACATCGTGGTGATGGTGCTTCCCGTGTCCGGTCTCATTCAGCACGGCATGGTGTCGCTGACGGCCGATCGATACGCGTACTTTGCATCGGTGGTGTTTGTCCCCATACAGACCGCGGTGCTACATCGAATGAGCCGACGGTCGGCGACTCTCGTGGCGTTGGCGCTGTTTGGGTTGTGGAGCTCGATCACGTCGTTGCAAACTCAAGCGTGGCGCACCGAAGAGGGTCTGTGGCGATATAGTCTCATGTACGCGACTGGGCTTTGCGAGCTGCACCACCTTCTCCTTCATCGCATCGTCGTGATGACAGGGTCGTTGTAGGCAAGACCCATCCGACTGGCGCACCCTGGACCAGTTGGCTGAATATTACCTGCACTATGGCCGCAACGCGGAAGCCCTTCCGCTCATAGAGCGATCGTTGTGGTTTGGACCGACCCGCGGCTTCAAAGCGCGGTTGTTTCAAGCCAAGCAGCGCATGTTCCTCAGTGAGTAGGCACACTCCGAGTGCACGTCACTCTCAGCACGACGATCTTTTTGTCGACTAGACCGCGTGGACGAAGGGTGCTCGATGTACGCGGCTCTTTTCGAGGATAAGCCGCATCACCCGGCCGTGCTCAACAACATGGCGGTGTGTGCGCTGTACCGCGGAAACGCTAGCGCTGCGACGTCGCTGTGGGAATCGGCAGTGGAAAATGAACGACGTGCCCAACGAGACAAACACGCCACGATCGAGTCGATCCCGGCGCACAATCTCGCCCAAGTCCCAGCCTTTCTGTCGGGCGCCCGCGGGTTTAAAGCGCAGCTCATGTGGTAGCTCACGGGCCGTTTGGGACGTGCGATGCTCGCACCACGGACTCGACTGTCGTGGGCTTCCGCGGCGCCGAGTTGAGGTCGGTGTGGTTGGGATGACGTTTGGTTGGAGCTGTGCATGTCGCCAACATCAGCGAGCGTATTTCGACAGGTGCACGGAATGCACAGCCCTCCACGGACAGCCCGCACTGGCGGCAGCAACAACAAACGACCTGTCGTCGTTGTGCCACTACTCAAAAGAGAGACAAGAATATGGTAGTTACCACGTCTGCTTTCAATTTTGCGGCGGGTCCCGCACGACTCGAGGCGGTCGCTCCACTCGCGGCGAATCCAGCACGTGCTCGAGAGTCAAGCTTTCGAGGAGCCCTTGCCGTCGGGTTTGGTAAATCCCATGAGCTTGTACCCCTCGGGCAAACGACGGCAGGCTGTCGACCACCGACCGTAGAGGTTGTTGTGGTGATGGGCGTCACAGTCGGGGTCCAAGCTGTGGGTTTCGGGGTTCGATGGTAAGCGCGGCAGTACAGCAGGCAGCGAAGGGGTCACGGTAGCTGGCAAACGAGGCACAGTGGTTGCGAGCCGTGGGGGTTACCGTCGTTGGTGTCGGGGTGCCGGTGGTCACGGAGGGTGTGACGTCCGAGGGCTGCGCGGTGGCGATGGTTGGATCGGGGGTGGCGGATGTTGATTCAGGAGTGAGCACAAGGTTGAACGTGGGAGGCTCAGGGGTCACGGTGGTCGGCTCTTGGGTGAAAGTGGCGGATTTCGGTGTTTCGGTTTGCAAATCGTCAACACAAGAGAAGCTCGTTAGAGGGGACAAGTCGTTGCATGGGTGGGGCATTGCGCCGTCATTCAGGTTACACTTCCAGGTGTGGGGGGGTTGAGCGGGTTGCCTGTACGTCGTGGGGCGAGCAACCCTTTGGGCATGAAAAAAGATGCGCCAACGACACCGTATATGTACAGGGGACTCGACGTGCTCACGAGAAGCAGGTGCAATGGATTCGGGGGAGGGAGATCCATGAGGGGGGGGTTGGTGTGCAGCGTTTACCGGCTTGTGGTGGGGTGAGCGCTGCGAGTGAGAGGGGGAGCGGGCAGTAGAATTTCATGCCCCGGTTCCCATTCGATTCCAGACGCGGGCATCCTTCGACTGGGCGTCATGGCATCTCCGCAAAGCAGCGCATGACACGTGCACGCGTGTTCACGTCGATGTGGTTGGCCCCCCATCACCGCAAGCCGTCCCGCGTGTAGATGCCAAGCAAGTGATGTGTTTCCGTCATCTGGACGTGCGGAAGTTTTACAAGTGGAGCAATTTCTTCGACCTGGTTTGCTGTCGCGGACTGACCGCACCATTTGTTCGTGTTCGACCATCGCCACTCGTACCCGATGAATATCGTGGAGCTCGCCCAAGACGTAGGCAGTGCATGCGACGAGTCATGCGGATAGCCCAAACGTGCGCGTCCTCCACGGCCGCCACCCCAATCGTGAACGGGTGGCGAGGACGCGGCCTCGTTGTCTCGTCTGCCAGACATGCATTGGCATCTACCTGACTCGAGTGGAACGATCTACCGTAGACGTCACCACATGAACTGCGCATTTGCCGCGCCAAGTCGCCGAGGCGCGCACCATTCCGTTCGGTTGAGTCTGGCCTAACCACAGAGTGGTTGGCGAACCCAGCCACGGCGTTGTAGTGAGTGTCGATGCAGCGTCGACGGGCATGGGTCGCCTCCGTGGCGGCAACGACGGGGACGGCTGAAGAGACAAAGGATTGGGGTGTCGCAGGAGTGATTCAACTGACCGGCGAGTTGCGGGCATGCGGTGGCACAGGGGTGACCAACGTCCATGGTCATGGCGGTGGCG